TGACACTGTTATTAAGAATGAATTTAGATTCCAGAGAGTCAATTTTCAACACCAGAGTCTCTTAACAAAGACTTGTTTAGCCAAATGAACAATGTAACTGAGAGAAATCCATTTAACATTGCTTTAACACTGTATGTTGTTGTGTGCTGTCAAGTCAATTCCAACTCAGCAAATCTATAGGACAGAGTAGAACTGCCCCATAGGGTTTCCTAGGCTATTTATCTTCATGAGGGCAGACTACCCGTCTTTTTGCCCGCCTTTTCCTCCCCATGGTGGCTGGTGGGTTCAAACTGCAGACCTTTTGGTTAGCAGCTGAGCACTTAACCACTGCACCACCAGGGCTCCTTCTACTGTTATATAATCACATGCTTATTTCTCTTATTTGGTGTTAACTAATCTCTTTTTTTTTAAATTGTGATTTAGGTGAAAGTTTACGGAGCAAATTCATCTTCTGTACAGCAGTTCATACACATTCTGTTTCACGACATTGTTTGCAATACCCCACAATGTAACAGCTCTCTTCTCACTTCTTCCCTGTAGTTACTTCTTCCCTGTGTCTTTTCCTATGCATTCCTGTCCCCCTGAGCTGTCTCCCTGTGCAAATATTGCCCTTCTGTTCTCCACAACTGATCATTCTAAGGAGTTTATCTACCTGATACAAATGTTCGTCCTATATGCCTATCTACTGTGTGGCTGGAAGCCAAGAGAGTGAGCTCAATTCCCAAACTGAATGGTAACTAGAGACCACAGTCTCGGGGGCTCTATCAGACCAGTAAACCTGGTCTTTTTTTTTCCATTTTTTTAAGATTTTGAGCTTTGTTCCACATTGTTCTGTTCTTCCACTCTATCCAGAATCTCCTGCACTGATCCCTTTCTGAGTGGTTGGTTGACAGTGGTAGCTGGACACCATCTATTTCTTCTGGTCTCATGATCATATAGGCTGAGGTTTGCACTCAATCCCATGGGCTAATTGTTTCCATGAGTTTTTGGTTTTCTTCATTCCTCTTTGCTCTAGACCAGGACAGACCCACTTTTGCATCTACATGGCCGCTTGCAAGTTTTTAAGACCCTAGTTGCTACTCACTAAAGAAGGATGTAGGACAATTTTTTGTGTAGTATGTTGTGCCAATTGAGCTTGATGTCCCCCATTACTGCGGTCCTGCGCCCACAGGTCTAATAACTTGCTCCATCAGGGTAGGTGACTATGCCTAAGAAATTATCCTAACTTTGCCCCATTAGTTCTACTTACACGGACATTCTTATAGCACATACAAATAAGTATGTAGAAGTATCGTCTGCCAACTTTACATATGGTCACAGTTATGTTCCCTTTTGCCTATACATACCTTATCATTCAGACACTGTCTACCCATATATTTACCCATGTATTGTTTGTTATCACTGATAATGCAATATTGTATATGTAAAAGGGTTCATTTTTGTTGTCTATACCTCTTATTCACCTCTCTGTGTCTTCCTTTTCCTTAGTCACTCACTTTTGGTATATTGCCCTTCCCTTTACCCAAATCATGATGTCTCTACCTATCTAAGTGTTCCCTCCTTCCCCTCCCATCCCTGGTAACCAACAAAGAAAGTTTCCTTCCATATATAATCTTTGCTTAACTTTTTACAATAACAGGCTAATATTTGTCCTTCTGTGACTAACTTATTTCACTCAGCATAATGTCCTCCAAGTTCTTACACATTATGCAGTATTTTGCAGATTCTACACTATTCTTTAGCGTTGCATAGTATTCTGTTGTGTATATGTACCATAGTGAGGTTATCCATTCTTTTGTTGATGGGCATGTGTTACCCAATCTCTTAATTCTTTTACAGAAAAGCAAATGTTGAAAATAGATACAAGTTGTATTCATTTAAAAAAAAAAAAAAAAAAAAAGCATCAACCATATGTGCCAAGTATTTTCATAAAATGAGTGAAGTACTAGAATTCCAATTAGTGTTAACATCTATTGGAAAAAAAATAATCAGCCCATTTTTTTCAGCTGGCATCTTTTAATGAAAAGGACTTGGAGTAACTTTAACTAAAAAGTAAATACAGTTGAGAAAAAGAAGCTACAAGGTCAGTTCATCCACTTCCCACAGACCACTGGGCAATTCTAAAAGTAGAGACTTTGTGCCCCTCTCTGATGACAAACCATTCAGAATAACTTCTCTTAAGGATGTTACAAACTAACATCATTCTGGAGTACCACACAATCACAGTTTAACTTCTCTTTGGGTTATATATTGAATCCTCTCTATCCCACAATTATCCAAGATTAGACTTATAGTTAAAAAAAAAAAAAAAAAAAAAGTCTTTCTGATTCATCCCAGATTCTGAGTTACTCTCAGCTCTTAGTAAACAAGGAATATAAAAACTGTGAAAAAGAGCTCTGGTGGTCAAGGCATTTGGCTGCACTAAGAGGTCCAAACTTCAAACCCAACAGCTTCTACTCCTCGAAAGGAAGATGAGGGTAATCTGCTTCTGTAAAAATTTACAGTCTTGGAAACCCAATGGGGGTTCGCTATGAGTTGGAATCAGACTTGATGGCAGTGAGTTTGGTTTTTTTACACAAAACGTGAAACTCAAATTCAAGTATCTGGGACTCTGAAAACAGCAAAAAGTCTACTTCTAGTTTAAGTTTGGAGAGAGAAAGAATCATTTGGAATGCATTTATATAAGTTGCACCCATAATGCTAAGTTTTATGGCAAATCCTTAACTGTTCTAGAACTTGTTGTTGTTGTTATTTGCCGTGGAGTCGGCCCCGACTCATAGCGACCCCTCCTTGGGTTTCCGAGGCAGTATCACTACGGAAGTAGGATTGCCCAACCTTCCTTCTGAGGAGTGGCTGGTGGGTTTGAACCGCCAGCCTTCTGGTTAGCAGTCAAGTGCCTTAGGCACTATGCTACCAGAGCTCCTGTTCTAGAACTTATTACTACTGTATGTTGTTGTTGTTACGTGCCGTCGAGTCGTCGAGTCGGCCCCGACTCATAGCGACCGCTCCTTGGGTTTCCGAGGCAGTATCACTACGGAAGTAGGATTGCCCAACCTTCCTTCCGAGGAGTGGCTGGTGGGTTTGAACCACCAGCCTTCTGGTTAGCGGTCAAGTGCTTTTGCCACTATGCTACCAGAGCTCCTTATAGCCTCCTGGAAACTTTGTGCTACTTTCGGGTATCATTTCAAACCTTGGTTTATATTTCTTACCCCTAACTCAAAGCAATTGTTTCTATCAACTTCCAATTAGGTCAGGTATTAAGAAATGGAAATATGAATGCAATGTTATTTTTTAACATTCACACACACATCTCCCTCTAATTTTTCAATATCAGTGTGTATCTTAACATAGGACTACTCCCTGCTCCTTCTTTTTAAAGAACGAAGTTGATTTTCGGCATCTTCCTAGTACCAATATTTTCATTCATTATCTATGGATCTTTTCCACATGTTCTATTCCCTGTGATTGGTTTGTTTTCAGATAATTTACACTCCCTACTACTGCTACTACCAATAGTACTGTTCCCTTGGGTCTGCGCTCTATGATTCCTACGTTCCCACAGCAACAACTACCTTCAAATCCGCAATCTGTTCAGTAACTATGCCCCTGCAAACAAAAGCTTGTGCAGGCTCGAGGCCCCGCAAGCACACCTCCAAGTGGTATAGGACCTGAACCAGTCGCCAGCCTACACAAGCTTATCACGAGAGCAGCTCCGGGGTCTGGAAGATTAGAACTATTGGGGAGGGGTCCTGTTCTGGCCAACCCAAGCAAACCAGAGCTCTACAAAGTGGCCAGGCTCATAAGGGGTGCAAAAAACGAAGCCAAGTCTCTAAACATCATGGGGGGTTGGAGGGCAAGCCAGCTTTAAAAGTCTAGAGAAACAAGGAGGCCCTCCCACATGTCTGGCAACCTGATGAATATCACAAGAAGGTACCAGTCCAGGTAAGCAAAGCTCTGGCCTCCCCGCCCTGAAGCACACGCGAAGTCGCCAAGTCAGAGCTCAGGACTTGAGTGGATGAAGAAGCACACTTGCCGCCACCCCCACCCCTCACCTGCTCGGCCCTCAGCTCCCACTCCATTGCTTACCGGTGCTGCAGCCCCACAAGTCCCAAGGTGATCACATGAGGCACATCTAGCTGTGTGGGCCACTCGCCTGAGGCGATGCAGCCGAACACGCCACATTCCTCTCGGATCCCCAACTCCTCCAGCTCCATGTCGCCGCCAAAAGCACGTGGCGGGACCTGCCGCTGCCGAGGTCTAAGTGCCAACCAGCAGCCTACTCGGCCCAGACACTCCAGATAACCGCTTCCTCCCTAGAGGCCCGACCCTCGCTTCTGCGGCGGCGCGTGCTTTCAATAAGAAAGCTTGATTACCGTGCTCACCCCGGCCGCCAGACCCCGCCCCCTCCTGGCCCACCAATAAGCAAAGGCAGAAGGAGAGTCTCCGGGGCGACTAGAGAGGAGGAGTCGGGTGGAGGTAGTCTTCCAACAGGGACATCTAGATAGCTACAATTAACTGCACGTGTGTATTTCCTATCACACAAAGGCAAGGTGATGTGAATAACGGATTTAAGAAAACACTCTCCCAGAGGATGTACACTTAGTATATCCTTCCCTATGTGCTTTCCCCTAGCAGTCTTCACTTGGTACGCTCCTCTCTAGCGGCAGAAAGAAACTCCGGTTGGGGGGGGCGCTGGAGAATGCTAGTGCGCGCCACTATCGAATTTCCTGCGACTACGACTGCGCCCGACTGCGGCGCAGGGGTCGTTGCGTCGCTGCGCCTGCGCGGCGGGAAGCCTTCCGGGAAGAGTACTCACGAACTCGGGTCCACTCGAGCGTCCCTGGGTTAGTTCTGCGCCCTAGACTTGAGCGTGGCGTGGTGCCGGGAGCGTGCTTGTTGTACGCGGGCATCTCCACTCAGCTCCAATGAACCTAAGGGACTTCTTTTTTTTTTTTTTTTCCAGATTTGTGGTTCTTGTCCTAGCGTGGTCACTACCCCCAGCCTCTTCAAGACAATGGCGACCTCTGAGGGTGAGTAACACACATCGAGGTTCGCCGGGCACTCCTCAGGCCCCCTGCCCCCTTCCTTCTTTCGATGGCCTTACCGCCCCAGACCATCGCTCGCGGACTTGGCGCGTACACTGCCAGCCTGAGGACAGTGCCTGGCCTCCTTGCGGCCTGCTTCCCCTTTAGGCAGCCACACACGCGGACACGTGGCCTGGGCCTTGCAGAGCGCTGCGCGCTCCACCCCGGACTGGCCAGGGCCAAGTGAACTCAAACCTCTCTGGGACGACTCCTAAGTTTCTGAAACTTAGTACTGCCTCTAGTTGGGGTGTAGGAAAAGGAGCAAAGTACAGAAAGAGGGTAATTAAAACTAGAAGTGGCCAGGGATTGGGGAGATAGCTGGAAATCGCTTTTTAAAATCAGTAGATAATTGAGAAACAATCACATGAAAATTTAGTTTTGCTTTTCTTATGTTACTGATTGAGCCTTCTGAAAATATTGATGTTTTCTTTCTAAATTCTTTGTGGTTTGATCTTTGTTGTTTGTTTGTTTTTAAGTGACCTGTGATACCTTGGTGGTTTTGGAGAGCCCAAGACCCCCAGGCAGAAAACTTCCTTGCTTCACTTTGTCTTAAAAACAAAAACCAAACACACTGCCGTGGAGTTGGATCCCACTCATAGCGACCCCTACTTAGATTTCCAAGGCTGTATCATCATTCGCTATGAGTCAGGTTTGACTCGACGGCACATAACAACAACAACAACATCATTACGGAGGTAGATTGCCCAACCTTCCTTCCGAGGAGTGGCTGGTGGGTTTGAACCGCCAGCGTTCTGATTAGCAGTCAAATGCATTAGGCATTGTGCCACCAGAGCTCTTTTCACCTTATCATATCTCCCAAAAAACCGCAAACCCATCGCCATCGAGTCGATTCAGTAGAACGGCCCTATAGGGCTTCCAAGGCTGCAAATCTTTACAGAAGGAGACTGCAACATCTTCCTCCTGTGGAGTGGGTGGTGGGTTTGAACTTTTCTTTCAGCTGAGAGCTTAACCACTCTGTCACCAGGGCCCTTTTTTTTTTTAACCATATTCATGGTCAAAACCTTAAGGAAGTTCGTTTATGACATTCATGCTGATAAAATGTTAACTTCTTCCACACTCGATTTTTAATTTTATGGTGAACCCCATTGCTTTTGTTGGCTAGTGGCTACATTTTTTATTCCACATAGAAAAATTGAATTTAGGTTAAAAGGTCATAGATTCAACAAAAAAATCATGATGACATTGAATAATGACTCTCGAAAACCCAGGCATTGATAAAGAAAAAATCAAGGCATTGGACCAAAATTTTTCCCTCTATCAGGATACCTGATAAACTGATTATTTTTTCAGATGATGTCTACAGAAAGAAACACTGGCCAAATCCTGCTCCATCCTCTCAATTGCTGTTTGAGCTCACTGAGCAACCACTGTGTCATACTGTCAGGTTAAGGGTCTTTGTTGACCCTCTACCGAGCATTATGTCCTTCTCCAGGGATTGGTTCCGCCTGATAACATGTCCTAAGTATGTGAGATGAAGTCACACTATCCTCGCTTCTAAGGAGCATTCTGGCTGCGTTTCTTCCAGATCAAATTTGTTTGCTCCTTTGGCAGTCCATGGTGTATATATTATACTCTGGGCCAACCACCATTAATTCAAAGACATCAATTGCAAATGAGGCAATTGAAAATACCATGGCTTGGGCCAGCTGCATCTTAGTTTTCAAGGTGACGTCTTTTCTCTTTAACATTTTATTTTATTTTTTATTGTGATTTGGGTGAAGATTTACAGAGCAAATTCACTTTCCATACAGCAGTTTACATATACTTTGTCTCATGACATTGAGCACAGTTTACCACAATGCAACAGCTCCCCTCCCACTTCCTCCCCATAGTTACCTCTTCCCAGTGTCCATCCCTCCATACACTCCTGCCCCCTGAGCTGTCTCCCTGTGCATAAGCAGCCCTTCTTTCTCCCATGATTGTTCTCTCCAAGGAGTGTATCTACCTCAGGTAAATGTTTAACTCATATGCCTGTCTTCTGTTTGGCTGGAAACCACAGGTGTGAGTTCAATTCTAGACCTGAAGGGCAGCTAGGGGCCATAGTCTCAGTGGTTCCACCAGGCTCTATCGGACCAGCAAACATAGCCCCCCCCTTTTTGTCTCCAAACGATTTTGAGTTTTGTTCCACATTGTTCTCCCTCTCTATGAAGGATCTGCTACACAGATCCCCTTCCAAGTGGATGTCAGTGGTAGCCAGGCACCATCTAGTTCTTCTGGTCTCATGGTTGTATAGGCTGCAGATCGGATGGTATACCAGTCGCTAGGACTAATTGTTTCCATGAATTTTGGTTTTCTTCATTCTTCTTTGTTCTGGATGAGGAGAGACCCATTGTTGCATCTAGATGGCAGCTTGGTAGCTTTTAAGATCCCGGTTGCTACTCGCCAAAGTAGGAGGTGGAACAATGTTTTATATAGTATATTATGCCAATTGAGCTTGATGTCCCCTGCAACCATGGTCCCAAGCCCGCAGATTCAACTACTCAGTCCCTCTGGGTAGCTGGCTGTGACCAAGCAGTGATCACAACCTTACCCATGCCAACCCTGCTATATATCTGGGAAGTGAATTCTGATCATTCACATAAACTTATAGGACCATTGTCTGCCAACCCTATTTATGTTCTTGGATACGCTCCCCATTTCATAGACATACCTAATAGTTCAGCCTATCCACCCATCTATCCACCCAAATACCCATGTTTGCCTTCACTTACAACTCAGTACTATATATGCAAAAGGGTTCATATTTGTTGTCTGTACCTCCCATGTACCTCTCTATGTCTTTCTCATCCTCAGTGCTGCCATATTGGTCACTCATATTTGGTACAATAACGGACTAATACAGTAATTGTCCTTTTGTGATTGACTTATTGCCCTCAGCATAATGTCCTCCAAGTTCATCCATGTTCTGCGGTGTTTTGCAGATTCTACATTATTCTTTAGCGTTGCATAGTATTCCATTCTGTGTATGTACCATAGTTGGTTATCCATTCCTCAGCTGATGGACACCTAGGTTGTTTCCATCTTTTGGCTATTGTGTAGTCTATTTATGCCATATATTAGGGCCCTTAAATTTGCCCCTAGATTTTCCTTGAGGAACTGTATAGTTTTAGGTTTCACATTTAAGTCTTTGATCCATGTGGAGTTCGTTTTTATGTATGGTGTGAAGTACAGAACTTGTAACAACAGTCCATTCTATCTTGCAACTCTCTAAACTTCCTCACCATTTAGGAGTTCTGTGACTACAAATCTTTTCCCTCTTTTTTGTTTGTAGTTGTCCTCACTTGCCAATTGATGTCTCTGGTTCCCTGTTTACAATCTTACAAGCTCATTTTACTTTGGATATGTCCATAGTTGTGGTTTCTGGGTTATGTCATCTTGTGTATTAATGGTCAGTTGTTATTTGCTATTTTTGGTTCTCTG